AAAAAAAATAATCCCAAATTAATTTTTTCAGTGCAACTAAAATTTATAAATGTTGATAAGTGTGTTATAAGTTGTGGTATAAGTGCGTTCATCGACGTTAACTGAAATAACTGACTTGATTTTACATGAGACCTCACAACTTTCTGTAATGGAAAACTGCGTTGCGAGACTCTCGTTTTTCAAACATTATTACTGAGTATAAAACAACTAAATATACCTAGGAATACTATTAACAAGAGTAATCAATTTAAATAAATTTATAATTAAAAACAACTCCAAACACAGTAAAACTTAAATAATGTTCAGCGCATTTCTGTTTCTATTTTTATTTCGCGTATATAGGCGTGGTAACGTTAACACTAAGTAATAGAAACATTAAATCGTTATCACAACTAGAAAGTGCACTTTACTTTGTGCAAGAAATTATAAACTCCATATATTCTTTTTGTAGCTATAAACGATTAAGAAACATCATCAGGGCAAGTTTCAGGTCGAGTGATTCGATTATTAAATTGGAATTAAATTAAGTAGGTGGTTTTTCCTTTTAGAGATAAGATATTCTCAAAATTAAGATATCATTAGTTTGAAAATTATTATTGTAGCTAATCATAATTATTGAACTAAATGTTTTGAGAATTTTTTTATTGCGTAATGTTTCCATTAGTTATTACAAGATACTATTATGTTTTTTTCTCAAAATGTTTACTTAAATATCACAGAAAATGCAGAAGCATTATTAAAATATCCGAAAAAAAAATTAATAGTCCAGGAGGCAGTAAAAATTTTCGGTATTTTTTTTTCCCAGTAAGCAAATTCGGTGTATTATTCTAAGCAAAGGGTGTTTCAAAACAAATACGAAAAACTTCAGGGGGTGGTTCCTCGCTAAAAATAAAGGGTATTTTGCTTTATAAACGTTGGGTCAAAAGTCAACCATTAGGGAGATATCGCGGTACAAAGATGGCGGAAAAATAATGTTTTTATTTTTTATCTTGAAAACTAAAAGAGATGACTAATGACATTTTATGGAAGCATTACTGTTATGAAGACATACATTCCGGTAATTTTTTCATTTTTTTAAAATGAGTGGAAGGGGTTGGAATAAACTACCCCTATCATTCTTATTAACGAAATTTAAAGAAAAATCTTATCAAACATATGCAAAAATAATTTCGATAGTTTAGTTTGTTTAGAAACTTTTTAATCTCTTCTGTTTTTTTGATAAAACTCACCGATTTGAAATTAAAAAATAAAATGTAAAGCATTGCCTGTGAGGACAAAAAAACATTTTCACATAAAGAAAAAAGGCTTCGGAATAATTAATTGATCGTAAGATAATAACGCATTGCAGTAGAGTAATGTGAGATAAAATAATATTAGAGACATCCTAAAAAGTGACAACGGCCAACTAGATTTTTTCCTAAAAAAATTACAGCAGCTCACTTGATTCTTTATTTAAAAATGTTTTTTGTCCTGACATGTAATGCTTTACATTTTATTTTTTAATTTCAAATCGGTGAGTTTTATCAAAAAAACACAAGAGATAATAAAGTTCCTAAATAAACTAAACTATCCAAATTAATTTTGTATGTGTTTGATAAGATTTTTCTTTAAATTTCGTTAACAAGAATGATAGGGGTAGTTTATTTCAACCCCTTCCACTTATTTTAAAAAAGTGAAAAAATTACCAGAAAGTGTGTTTTCATAACATTAATGCTTCCATAAAATTTCATTAGTCTATCGCTTTTCGTTTTCAAGATAAAAAATAAAAATAAAAATTATTTTTCCGCCATCTTTGTACTACAATATCTCCCTAATGGTTGACTTTTGACCCAATGTTTATAAAGCAAACTAGCCTTTATTTTGAACAAGGAATCAACCCCTGAAGTTTTTCGCATTTATTTTGAAACACCCTGTATATGTAAGGGGGGCTTCCGATGGGTTGAGGCGGAAAATGCGTTAGAGATTACAAATATGTAACACTTTTTTCCAGCGATATAAATAGTTCTATTAGTGAGAGATGTTAAGAAATAAAAATAGTCTAGCTAATCTGCGAGAATAGTTAATGTTCGACAGGTGAAAAATTGGATAAAAATTATTGAAACCATTGCCAGTTCGTCTTACAAAATTTGTCTGATGATAGTTTATATTATAATTACACCTACAAATATAGTCTAGCTAATGTGGAACATCCCGAAAGCCTTTCTAGACTCGTCCAACGCTCGCAAGGCGCGCTAAATTCAGTTTTCTCAATTATACAAGGTGATTATTGTCATCTCTGTTTGTGTTTACTTTTCATAATTTATGATAAGAAAAATACTGGCTCGGAACCAAATTTGACTATGGCTAAAAACAATTTTCTCAACGTTTTGACCCCTGGAATCCAAAAAACATCGTTATAGCAAAATATCAGTCCTTCCGTCATCAAAAAAACTTTATTCGCAATAACTTTGTAATTGTCAGAGTTCTTGTTTCTGAGTTATAGCAATAAAAATTGTGGTTAAGGTTTATTTGTTCTGCAGTTTTTGCATTTAAGCATTCTCCAAGTTTTTAGAGTACTATAATTAAAAAAGCAAAAGGAAGGACATAATATGGTGAGTACAAATACAGATATTTTTCTTATGCGAATTTATATTTATTTATTATACGCAGTACAAAGATGTGTTTTAGGAATAAATGTAATAACAACCACTACCCATACCCAACAGGAGGCCAAAGAAAAATGTTACCAGTAAACTTTGTTTATCTTTTGTCCACAAAGGAATACATGTTTTTATGTTTTAATTGTGTTATAATAAGTAAATAAAAATGTTTTTTTTTAATTATTTTGACCAGAAGTTTTGATTGGCATTGTTGACAGATGACTAGTTCGAAATTTCTACACAGATAGCGCTAAATCGAAACATTTTGGAAACAAGGTTTCCATTTTTTATTGTCGGTTCATTTTCGAAACACGAGTTTCTCTCTTTTTAGATACAAATATGGTATAATGTAGATGATTTGTACCCGACCCCATGTCAAGTTTATAAAATAATGAATTAAAATTCCGCCATGTTCTACTTAAATTGATTTATATATTTTTATTTTCAGAATCATGATAGAGAAATAAAAAAAATCTATATTTCAAACAAAAATATTAGAAGGGCCATTAAAAATATGAAAGTACATTACTAAATTAAACGATGAATATCCTAGAAACAAATATTTTAAGACAAAAATATTATAGCGGTGGTCGACATTGTGGATGGTTGTTATCATTTTGAAAACCATACCCAGTTATAGACTATTTTAGTTTGGTATTTGGTTTCTTCACAACAGTGGCTAGTGAAAACGGGAATATCTTGGATACAAATTGGAGAAAATGTTTCGAAACACTTCCTCCAAAAGTTTTGATTCCGCATCGAAACGGTTAGTACCACCACAATGGAAACACATGTAATAAAGACATACTAAGCTGGGCTGAAAAATAATCGGCCTAGGTAAGAAAACACATTTTTTTTGACAACTCAATTTATTTCTCAACGTAGTCCCCATTAAGCTCTATACACTTTGTCCAACGATTTTCCAATTTTTCGATGCCCTTCGAATAATACGATTTTTCGAAGTCCTTAAAATAGGCCTCTGTCGCAGCGATGACCTCCCCATTCGGCTCAAATCTCTTATCACCGAGTCATTTTTTCAAGTCTGGAAACAGATAATAGTCGCTGGGCGCCAAATCTGGGGAGTATGGCGGATGAGGAACCAATTCGTAACGCAATTCATACAGTTTTGCCATTGCGACTGCACATTTATGCGCCGGTGCGTTGTCCTGGTGGAAGAGCACTCTTCTTCGCTAAATGGGGTCGTTTTTTCTTCAAATCGGCGTCGAATCGGTCCAACAGCTTTGAGTAATATTCGCCTGTGATCGTTTTGCCCTTTTCAAGGTAATCGATATGAATAATACCGTGCGCATCCCAAAAACTGTGGCCATGACCTTGTTGGCAGACAGACCCACCTTAGCTTTCTTTGGCTTTGACTCGCCCTGAGAAACCCACTGCTTTTGAGCAATAAGAAGGATTGGAAGAGCGAAACGCTTGCCCAGCAGTTAAAAGACCATACCATAACTTGGTATACTGATGCTTCCAAAACCAATACGGGAACAGGGATCGGAGTGTTTGGGCCGAGAGCTAATTACTCCGAACCAATGGGCACTTACCCTAGTATCCTACAGGCAGAAATCTACGCTATCGAGAGATGCGTACAACTTATCTTAGATAGGAACTATCGGAAACAAGAAATAGCCATCTTATCTGATAGCCAAGCAGCATTAAAGGCGATCAACTCAGTATCAATCAATTCGAAATTGGTCAAAGAATGCATAGAGAAGCTGAATAAATTAGGCAAAGAAAACAAAGTCCTCCTACACTGGGTGCCTGCTCACCAAGGGATAGAAGGCAATGAAAAAGCAAATAATCTAGCTCGGAAAGGAGCGAACACTCCACTAACTGGACCAGAACCGTTCTGCTTTCCAAGTGGTAACCAACTCAAAGCGGAACTCAAGAACTTGGAAGATTCCATCCGCAACCTGGAATGGAAATCTTGCAATGGTCTAAGACACTCGAAGAAGTTTCTGAGGGCTTATGATCAAGAAAAATCACAGATCTTCCTGGGTCTGAGTAAGAACAATCTTCGGATTGTCATGGGGTTTTTAACAGGACACTGTCTCCTCAATGAACACCTCAGTAGATTGAAACTAAGAAGAAACGGCGAATGCAGATTCTGTGGGGAAGATGGGGAAACACCAGTACACCTCATCACTGAGTGCGCCGAGACGACAACCACTCGTGCCATGAATTTTGGTACGACTGATATTGGAGATGGAGAACTACCCTCTATAAAACCGTCCCAGATACTGGCTTTTGTCAAAGCCCTGGGACTGTATGATGAGTTATGATTCAAGAAAGGGGGACACAATGGATCTGTAAGGTCGAAGTAATTGACCCCCCTCCCACTCATTCTAAATTCTAAATTCTAACCCACTGCTTTGACTGTTCCTTCGTCTCTGGCGTATTGTGATGGATCAAAGTTTCATCCACGGTTACAAAACGGCGCAAAAAGTCCTTCTTATTGTGGTTAAACATTGTCAAACACTCCTTTGAAGTTGTTACACGGTTTCGCTTGTTGCCGGCATTGAGCAAATGCGGCACCCATCTGGCAGCGAGCTTCCTCATTCCCAAATATTCGTGCAATATATTCTCAATTCGTTCACGTGACATGCCCACAGCCTCAGCAATCTCGCACACTCTTACCCGTCGATCGTCAATTACCATACCATCGATTTTATCGACCATTTCTGGTGTGGTGACCTCTCTTGGACAGCCTGGACGCTCATCATTAAAAATTATCGTAAGACCGCGTTTAAATTCGGCAGTCCAATATTTTATTGTTGATAACGAAGGTGCAGAGTCCCCATACTCATCATCCAGTTCGATTTTGATCTCATCGTTCGTTTTCTTTTTTAAAAACAAGAATCTAATCACTGCGCGATATTCGATTTTATTCATGTTTGTAAAAATGCAAAATCTGTTCGCCTTCAATCACTGTCAGGTACAAACTAAGTGACGCAGCTCGCTGAAAATTTGACAGAAGATAGTTTTTACGAAAAACAATTGCATTTGTTCCTAGCGCCGCCAACTCTTATACTTATAGGGATATATAGGTTTCGAAAAAAAATCTATTTGTGGCATACTGTTTCCATTTTGTGTCAAGAAACAGACAGGATTATTAGAAACATTAACTAAAATGCGTCCAAAATGCTACTTGGGCTGCTTTCTGGACTATTAAATTTGTAAATCTATTAGAGATGGGAATTCTAGTTCCTTGGGAGGAACTAGTTCCTTAGTTCTAGTTCCTCCAGAGGAATAGTTCCTTGAAGTAGGTCTTTAGTTCACAATAGTTCCCGACTAACATTGACATCCCCCTTGCTTGCTAATGCGTTTCGTTGTCTTAGAACTATTCACAGTATGATCTGTATAATTTTTATAATGTACGGAGATATAACGAGACGTGTAATTGTGTATGTTAAAAACATATGGGGAAGTTTTATTGCAAATAAAAAAAATAAAAAAATTCAAATCAGAATTTAAAAAACTATATCATAAATCAATTGGAGCAAATATTACAAAAATTTTACGAAAAATTGCATTTTTCCTCACTTCAAGCTTTTTGTTTTTGTCTAAAAATTCAGATTATCTACTTCGTTTTATAAGATATTTCTTAATTTTAGGGACCTAAATTGAAACATTCCCATAAAATATTTAAAAAACAAACTAAAAATCAAAAACAGTATCCACGACAATTTTCTGTGGTAATTACGCCGCACCGGTTCGGCTGTGGCAATAGACAAGGCCGAATCCATCGTCGTCGCCTTGTATTATATCTCGGATCTGCCGACTGAATAGATTCCCGTGAACTAGTCTTTTAATAGTTCCTCTATGTCCGGATCCGATAACATACGGCTGGCACTCCCCACGCCTGCCTAGCATCAATCGCGCTGGCTGATTCATACGTAAACTAGTCTTTTATTTAGTTCCTCTAGTTCCTTTAGGTCCGGATCCGATAACATACGGCATACGGCTGGCACTCCCCACTCCTGCCTTGCATCGATCGAGCTGTGACTATGACGTTTATATGACTATGATGTTTATAAGAATTTCTTCTAAGAAAGAATCGATCGAGCTGGCCCGATCCGTTCGTACGTAAACTAGTCTATTTAGTTTAGTTCCTTTAGGTCCGGATCCGATAACGTACGGCTGGCACTCCCCACTCCTGCCTGCCATTGGGCTACGCGCGCTAGCCGATACGTCCCCGTCGCATATTATTCTATATCGGTCACAGTCTGGATCCCGAAATAGGTCCTGAGGAACTAGTTCTTTGAGAATCCAGGAACTAGTTCCTTTCATTCCGTGGTCGGAATAGTTCGTTCAGGAACTACACACCTCTAAAATCTACCATCATCCATAATTGACAGCTCACGTAGCGCATGCTTATAGCTTACTTGTAATAAACAAGTAAATGGATTGAAGTCCACTGGAAATCAGTGACATATTAGACATTATAGATTAGAAATCCAACGGAAAATAGTGAGAAAATAGCATATTCAAATCTAGAAAGGTATTAAAATAATGTAGAAAATAATTGAATCAAAATGTAAACACAATTGAAAAATATTTGTAGAAAATAAAAAAAATATTTCCTGTTCTAAAAAGTAATTTTAGATTTTCAGAAAACTTTTCAAAAAAATGTTTAAATAAGTGAATAAATATACCTTTTCTGGAAAGTTACCCCTTGTGTCAATCGTCAACCAGAGTTCTGCATCAAAGGTTAGTAAAATTAGTTGTAGATTTCCTTAATGTTATGTATACGTAATGACTCGACACCCTTCGTTTTCATTTCGTAAACCAGTGGCTCGCGTCAAAACGGGTCTCATTTCCTCAATTTGATATCGCGTCGCACGCTTACATTGGATTGAAGTGTGTCCAGGGTTGCCTGAACTTCCGGTCTTTCCTTTTTTCCAATACAGTACTGCCGCGGTGCGTAACACCCCCTACGTGAAATAGAACACGTGCACAAAATTATTTTATACTATAAATTACGTCATTTAAATGGGGGGCTGTTTTAAAAACGAAAAAAATTGTGTCTGCATCCTGAGCGTCGGAGGGTAAATCGTTTCAAGTGGTGGTTTACTAAATTGGGGGATGAATAATGCAGGAAAATGAGTTTTGGTGTATTTTTTCAGGAAAAAAAGCGTTAAAAATGTCAAGTTAAAAAAGAAATATACGGAAATCCGGTTTTGTATTTTGGTTTTTAGGCAAATGTCCTTATAAAAACTTTAGCTTTTACATTTTTTGTGATAAATACCTAAGTAATTACTATCTAAGTTATAGAGGGTGTTTCAAAAAAATTGTGCCATTTCTCGTGGGGACATTCTTCACTAAAAATGTGATTTATTTTTCATATCAACATAAATCCGATTCTGTTTTTTTTTTCGTAGCTATAACGGGTTACACTGAACCAAAAGTCTACATAAATACAATGAAAAAGTTCATTAATATAATGAATTAAATCATTAATTTTCAACCGATGAACGATTTCATTGCCACAATGAAAAGTAATTCATTAACTCTATGAACTTTAAGTTCATTAAATCAATGAACAGTGTTCATTAAATCAATGAACAGTGTACATTAATTTGAAGAACACATTCATTGGTACAATGAACAGATTTCATTTATACAATAAAATAATTTCATTGTATTAATGAACCGTATCATTAATACAATGAAATAATAAACTATTTAGTTATACATTTAAAAGTCGACACTATTAGTAACTCTTGTTATACCGTATAATCGATGATGAAGATCGTTGTCATTGATATGAAATGTCATTGATAGTCATTTCCCAGCCAACTACCTAAAATACTTCTAGTATAAATAGATTTCCATTTGAACAAGCCCTTAACTACAAAGGTAACAAAATTACAAATAGTGCCGACTTACTTACGAGCACAGTAAATTTTTCCATTAGGGATTATTAATAAAAAACAAGTGCAATAAACTAATAATAATTTATTAAACTCGATATAGCATATACAAATTAAAAATTAAAAAAAATCGAATCGACGAAGAGAATAGATTAGAACGGAACTGATAAACCGGAATTTAAGTCATGTCATTAAGAGAACATGCGCAACAGATGAAATTCGAATACTTAAAAAAGGAAGATGACTAGCTGGTACTGAATAAACTGTGTTGCGGACTAATTAAGTGATTATGGAATATCTTTGACATTGACATAATTTTGAAATATGTAAAGTTGCTGTTTTTTTTTCAAAAAAATGTCAACAAACACATAAAAGCTGTATTAAATAACACATTACTACTAATTAATGTCTGTATCAGCTTGGCGGGAACATTTTAGCTGAATCTTCTGAGAATAATATTATAGAAATATTTATTTAATAATCAAAATATCCGTCCTTAACCTTAAAAATGCAGGTGTTAATTTTTAATATTTATAGATCTGTCAGCAGGTTGAGCAAAAAAATGCATATCTACAGTAGCAAATATGCATAATATTGTTTTCGTTTGGTTCATTTTTATTAGCTATAGGGAAAAGCAGGTTTTTACGATGCCTCTCTCTTCTGTTTTATAGGAATAATTGCTACAGTAAGTATTTTTTTTATATATTTTAGTATTATTTTTTATCTAGTATTTAGAAATATATACAGGGTGATTCATGACGATGAATGAATTAGACGTTTATGGAGAAACGTGAGTTAGACGTTTATGTAGAAAAAATATTTTTTAAAAATTTTGATTTTTACATAAAGGTGCCTACACCGTGTATCTAAATTATTTTTAGTATTACGGCGTTGCCGAATTATCTGAAAAGAGTAGTAACTTTGTTACTTTAAATGGAACCCACGGCATATTACTTCATTTTTCGAAACTTCTTCCATTTCCCATACATTTTCTATAGTACTATCAATACTTATCTCACCTAGTTTTAGAAATAAAAATAAAACATGTACAACATTTAAGAAAACATGAATTTTAATAAGCAATGGTTAAATTCTGAATAGAGAAAGCAAGAGCCGCTCTCGTTATGTCTGGTCTGTGCTCCTGCTCCTGTATCGTGCCAAGTCCTGGACATTGACAGAAGCATCCACAAAAAAACTTGAAGCCTTTAAGAGGTGGCTATACAGACGACTTCTAAGAATCTCCTGGTTAAATAAATAAATAAATAAATGCTTCTATTGTCAAAATTTTTTTCAATTTGTATAATATTAATTAAATAATATTCTGTCATCTTCACTACAATCCGTAATAAATAAATCAACAAAATTCTTCTTTTAGAGTTAACTTTTCAGTTCCATTAAAACTGAAGTCAACTGTTGCGTTATTGCAGATGTTTGTGGTGACATATACTCAATTCGCAGAGACAAAAATAGATGAAACCAGGCAATCACATGCCCATTTTCTCTATTTTTAATTTTTATTGTTAAAAACATCCACGGCTAAATCAGAAGTCGTTTGAATGTGACTGCTGCTTCGCCGCGGACGAAATGATGAGCTGATATCTTGCTGTGAGTGGAGATGGATATCGCTTTAAACGTCAAGCACAGTATCTTAGAGTGTTTGTGTATCATTTCGGGTTCTTGTCAACTGGTCAAAATGTTGTTTTTATTGGGGCTATGATTATGCTATTTGTTTTAGACCGACTATTTATGTCTCTTGAAATCTTTAAACCTATTATTCTCTTTTTTCATAATATGGCCCCTTTCTGTTACAAATTAGGTTTGTTTATTAATATGGTCTGCTAAGAGAAGGTATTTATTTTCCTGAATATTAAGTCCTTTGACGGAAACACTGCGATTTGTAAGGCCCATTGTGTTTGATTGCGTGCAGGCCCTTGATAGGATGAAATCATAATTCCTCCGGTTCTATATTCTCTTCCTCAAACAGAAAGTGTCTCTCGTAATCCAGAGTCCCGGAATGAT